TCTTGTTTGCGTCTTTTGGCGAATACATTATGTATCTCTGCTGGGTAATTTTACCCAAGGTTAAAACTGGTATAAGATTGGGATTGCTGGGTCAGAATATTCTTATACATTTTATAAAACTATTTAACTATTTAAAATAATGTACCTGCATTATATGATAATTTTTAAGATAGCAACAAAATTAGTTGCTGGTCATTTTACAGCCCCCATTCATGTAGAGTAGGACACCAGGAATAAGGAAAGGTTTGCTGTTGTAGGCAAAGAGCAAGTTGGAGCTCCAGGTGACAACTTGAGGCGGCACAATGTAGTGGACGGATCTAGCACAGGTTTTGGGTTCCTACTCTCACATTCCTAGTTTCCATAATTGTAAATTGGATGGGCTACTGTCAAAAATCTTTTTAAAAAGTATATAAATGATATAAGGCATGCAAATCATCTTAGTCCTTGGAGAAGCAGAATACCAGAGGTTCAGAGGTTGTCCAGGTGTGTCCTGAGGTAAGTCAGTAAGCTGTCTGAGTCTCTTATCTTATCTGAGTCTCGCTATCTGTAAAATCAGGATAATCTCACCACATGATAATATTATGAGGATTCACTGAAATAGTAATTAGCAAGGTATTTAGCAAGTGAATAATATTCAGAAATTCTCAGTATTTGTTAGGTTTCATTTCATTTTTCATTCTTTCTAAGCTCATTATTTCCTTTCCTGTTTAGTAAAAACAACTTTAACTGCCCTTAATACATCATAAAATCTTATTAGAAGATATTCTAACTATAACTGATTTTAAGAAAGGTCCTTAAACACTGGTGTGTTACAAACACAAGGCAGTCTTATAATGCATTTACTTATTCATTCATTCATATGACAGACGTTTAGCAAGCACCAGTTTTGTGCTAGTATTGAGCTATACAATGTGTGAATGCAAAGATGAATTAGATGCATTCCCTCCCTATCATGAAGTAATTCACAACCTGTTAGAAAAGGACAGATTTGGACTGGAATACCTAAACATATGAGGCAGTACATAATTAATGCCACGAATATAGTAGAATGAAATGCTATTCAAACATGAGAAAGGAAGCCATCATTTTCTGGATGCAACATTCAGAAAAGAAAGAATTTATGAGAGCATCACTATCTGCTCTGGTCTGTGAAAAATGCATACAACTTTGTTAGGTAGAGATAGCCACTGAGTCATTCCAAAAAGAAAGAAATGTTCAGAGGGAAAAAACAAAGAAAAGACCATGTATATTTATGGACAGGCAATTTAGTCTAGCCTTGCAGGAATCTAGGATATATCTCTATCTCTCTATCTCTATATCTATCTACCTACCTACGTAACTACCTAACTACCTACTATATCTATCTAGGCATAGGAACAGGACACTAGAAATGTAGACTTAAATGTGAGATGCTCAGCGGTTTGTAGGTGTTTTTTTCTTGGCAGGCAATGGGGAGCTTTTGGAGAAATTTATAGAATGGAATGCCATATTTAAGTTGTTTTAGGAACACACCTGTCAGGCAGGATACATATGAATCTGGAAGATGCTAGAAGGGGGGACTCCTTATGAAGCTGTTTCGACAGTTCAGGTGTGAGGTCATAAAGAAGAGAATTAACATATGACTCCAGGGAATGGGAAGGTAGCCAGGGATTCAAAAGATATTGTGGAAGGAAAATCAACAATTTATGAGAACTTATTGCATAAGAAGGTTGTACATGGAACAGAAGGGTCCACAAAGGATTTTTTTTTGAGTATAGTTGACACAGAAGAAACTACAAAAGACTGGCAGCACTAGAACTTTGTTACAAGAGGAAAGTAGCCGGAGGGGAAAAGTGAAACAGCTCAGCGTAAATGTCTCTGTATGTAATGAAAGAAATGAAAGAAGGACAATGGCTTCACAGGGCACCTCTGTAGGGAGCTTAGTGATTAGGAGCTCAGAACTCTGAAGCCAGACCTTGTGAGTCCAAATTCTGGGTCTGCCACTTAGATGCTGTGTGACTAAAAGCTAGGTACTTAAACTCTCCAAGACTCAGTTCCCTCATTAGAGAAAGAGGCATAATAATTATATCTATCCCATGAGTTGAAGAGCTAGAATTCATTATAAATTCCATAAAAGTTTTTGTACTTATTAGAGTAACACTGAAAGCTGCAATGGAGCATGGAGGAAACATGACATACAGTAGAGTAGAGAGAAGCAACTGTTAATTCATTCACCTAAATTATCTTGATTGAAGCCTCCCAGGCTCTGTTCTGAGTATTAAGGATATGAACTGATCACAGAGACAAAATCTCTACCCTCATAGAAATTACATTAAAATACAGGAAACAAACAAACAAATACAAAAATGTGAACAGGATGGTCAGACACATTAATAAAGAAAAACAAAGCAGAATATATAGAGCAGAGAGTGACCACAGATGCTATGTGTGACATTTGTCAGGGAAGACCTATAGTGGGAGCTGTTGAACACAGAATTGAATGAAATTAAGGAAAAGGCATGTAAATATCTATGAAAAGAGATTCCAGGGAAAGAGAAGAGCAAGTGAAAAGTCCTTGCATTTGAACGTATGTTATTATCCAAAGAACAGAGGGGAAGGCTATGAGGCTGAAAAGGATTAGAGTGGTAGCAGGAGATGAAATGAGAAATGAGTCCAGAGGTTTTATCACATGGGGACTTGTAGGACATGGTAAAATCATGGATTTCACTCTATATGTTACGGGAAGTTAAGAGGAATAACATCATCTAATTCATACAATTGAATGGCTGCTCTATAGACAACTCGCTACAGGGGCAAGAGCTAAAGAAAAGAGACTAGTTACAGGTTTAGAACTGTGGTCAAGAATCTGTAACAGATGGTGGTGGCATGTGTTAGGACAGAGCAGTTGAGATGGGAAGGAGTGGTCAGATTTGAGACCAAATCAGGTATTGTAAGCAAGAACTGTAGTACTGATGAAAGACTGAATTTGGGGTGTGATGAAATTTGGATTAAAGAGTATGAAACTAGAGTTTTCAACAAGAGTAAATGGATGAACTGTGGTAACATTTATTGAAATAGGGAAAGAAGTAGGAGGATCAAGTTTGGAGGTGGGAAAGGCAATTATGAAAAGTAGGATCTCCATAGCTGAATTGCCTATTAGACAGCCATATGGAAGTATTGAGTCATTGGTTGATATGAAAGTTGATATGGGTTATGATAAGAGATTAACTTAGAGATAAAACTTGGAATTTATTAAGATTTAGATGGCGTTAAGGCTCTCAGAACAAAATGACATCATAGAAAGATCTAGGTAGGTAGAAGAGAAAAGGCTGAAGACTGAGCTGTGGGGCATTCTCTGACTTTACCATAAGGCAAGTGAAGATAGTGTTTCAGTCAAAAAAAAAGTGAGAAGCTATGTCAAATTTTGCTGAGCATCTGAGACTTGACCATTTATTTTGACAATGTGGAGATTATTGATAACCTTGAAACTCCAGTTTCAGTGGACAGAAACTGTCTCATTAAAACTAATAAGGAAGATTACAAAGAGGGAAAAGCCAGTATAGACAACTTTTAAAGGAGTTTTTCGGGAAGGGAGAGGAATAGGCTGTAGTTGGAGGGGAAAGTAGTACCCAAAGATGGTATTTTAAAACAGCAGTGTGACAGAATGTTTGTATGCCAGTTGGAATTATCTATGAAGAGAGAAAATGGATGATACCAGAAATGGAAGGGATACTTACAAGATTCCCCAAGTAAGTGAGAAGGGATGGCAACAGGGGAAAGACCTGGCTTGAGACAGGAGCACAAACACATTAACTAGATTTGATGGAAGGACAAGGATACCAATTCTCAATGCTTCTCTCTTCTTGGTAATGTAAGAAGCCAAATTATTGGCTGAGCATGGGGAAAGAAGAGAGATTTGGGGAGTCTGAGAAGAATAGATATAAGACATTCATTTTATAACCGGAAATAATCCGAAATAATGAATGAATGGAGAAATGAGTGGCATTACCAAATACATGACTGCTAATACCTGGCAAGGAAGTCATGTGTTTTCTCCAGATAAATCAGCCGTTAGTAGAGTGGAGCTAATTAAATAGGGTTGAGTTTTTTTCTGGTGAATATGATGGGGAAGGAGGATCAACAGAGATGAGGGTGTTTGCAAGGGACTGAGGATTATAAATGACTATGACTTCTCAGTTGAGTTTGGAGGGAAATCAGGACAGGAAGCAGATGAGGGACAGTGGGAAGGTGTCAGAGTTAATGCAATGGAGGTCTTAGTGGGATTGAAGACTTGTTGGCAAGGGGGGAATAAAATAAGTGAGCAGGAAAGTAACAAATAGAAAAAAGGGATGATAGAAACTGAAGATTATAAGGGTTACAATGATTGGTTTAGTGCATGACACGGACTTGATGAATTGAGGTGGGAAGGAGCCAGTATAATTGTAGGCACCATAAAGGGACCAACAGTCTACTGTCATTGGATGAATTACCTACATGGAAATTATAATTACCAAGATTAATCACAGAGGTAACTAGAAGGGCGGCAATCCCCAGGTGTGCTAATATCTTCAGTAAATGTGGGAATATGACAGAAAACTTCAAAAATAAGAGGGTAGCAACTGGATATCTGTTAACACTTGCTTCAAGGGTGCTAGATTATTTAAAACTGGAAATGGGACCCATTAAAAAAGTAAAAAAAGAACAAACCCAACTATGAATGTGATCATTAGAACAAGATCAATAATAGTGACAGAAATTTCCATTCTTTTTATATGATTTTTTTTTTTACAATTCCTTAACACTGTAGCCATCTGTTTTGCAATTGGATTATATACAAGAGAAACCACAATAGCAGTGTATGTTTGACTTCAAATTATAAATTAGGGCTTTAGTCATTCTTCATTTTGTCCAGATGCCCAGAAAATTCAGGGGAAACTCTAAATATTTTTGATAATTTGATATAGAAAAGATGAAAACAGAAAACCCTTCATTTCTTCATTGTGGTTCCAATCTTTACCCACCAGGATTGTTGGACTGAGCATCCATAGGAATCATAAGCTTGGCCCGAGGGGCTCGGCGGGCAGCCAGTGACCTTTCCAGAGTAGACATGGAACTCCCTGCTTCTTCAGTGTCTTGACCTACAAGAAAAACAATACTGAGAGATACACCTTTTTCAATGATGCAACACCTTACATAATTTCCAGCCAGGCATGCCAATGCCTTTTTTATTTTATTGATATTTAAATAATAATACCTACTTTTTTGTTACCCAATCAATATACTCCCATTGCACAAACATTAATAAAATGTATCATAACCTCATTACTCAGAAAGAACCATTGTTTATATTTTGTTCCTTATCAGGTTTGCTTACGTGTTTATATGTGAAAGTGAGAAGGTATATATTAATATATATATATTTTTTACTAAAGTTGCATTATACCATATATATCATTTTGTAAACTTCTCAATAATATGAATGTCGTTCTCTGTCAAGTCAGTGTTATTTATTTATGTATTTAAAAATGCTCATGTTTCTAAGTTCATGAGCACCATCTATTTTATTTTATTTTATTTTATTTTATTTTATTTTATTAAGTACACTGTATGCCCAATGTGGGACTTGAATTCCTGACCCTGAGATCAAGAGTCACATGCTCTACTGACTGAGACAATCAGGTGCCCCAGTTTTATCATTCTTTAACAGTTCCATTAACATCCCATTGTATGAATTTACCACAATTTTTTTTTTAATTTTTTTTCAACGTTTATTTATTTTTGGGACAGAGAGAGACAGAGCATGAACGGGGGAGGGGCAGAGAGAGAGGGAGACACAGAATCGGAAACAGGCTCCAGGCTCTGAGCCATCAGCCCAGAGCCTGACGCGGGGCTCGAACTCACGGACCGCGAGATTGTGACCTGGCTGAAGTCGGACGCTTAACCGACTGCGCCACCCAGGCGCCCCAAATTTACCACAATTTATGCAACTAGTACTTAGGACCCAAAGACATTACATCTTATAAAAACTCAGAAAATAAACTACATTTTTTAAAAGTAAGTCTAGGCATAGTTATATACATTTATTATAATGCCACAAAATGTCATTCTAAAGAGTCATTAAAAGTGGCAAGAATGGTTTGTGTAGATTTAAAATGTATATAAAAAATACATGTTGAAAGGCACCTGGGTGCCTCGGTTGTGTCCAACTTCGGCTCAGGTCATGATCTCACAGTTCATGGGTTCTAGCCCCATGTGGGCTCTGAGCTGTCAGCCCAGAGCCTGAAGCCTGCTTCGGATTCTTTGTCTCCTCTCTCTCTGCCCCTCCCCTGCTTGCTCTCTGTCTCTGTCTCTGTCTCTCTCCAAAACAAATAAACATTTAAAAAAAATACATGTTGAGAACAATAAAACTGAAGTTTTGAATACTATGTGTATCATTTGTGTAATATACATATGAAAGCATATTATATATACATACACATTTGTATGTGTATAAATATATAAATGTAAATATATCTGTATATTATATATTATATATGTCGTGTGTGTGTGTGTGTATATATACATATATATTTGTATACAAAGGTTACACACAAAATTCTTAACATTGCCTTCCTTTCATGAAAGGGATAAGGAATTTGGGGATGGGGAAAGGCACTTATACTTTTTACTTCCTTTGGATATTATTTTCACAACTTTTTGTACTATTTTTTTTCTTTTAAAATTACATGCACATATTCTTTTTTTAAATTAAAATAGTAGTTAATAAAATTCAAAATTTAAAATACTGATGGGGGAAATTTCTATGCAGCCCAGATAATGGCAGCTGCCTAGATTTGTATCTGTCCACACATCCTCCAAAAATCTATACAGAACTATACAAGACAATAAAGCCACGCAAGATGTACCCTTTTGAAACGACTAAAGGAGAAAGAACAAACAAACTCTGGATTTCCTACAGGCACAAAAATAAATAATACTTTCCAGCAAAGCTATGACTCAAAGTTGAATATTTGAAAAAACTACACAAAAGACAGAAGAGGGGAATAAGACTCCTAAGACTGACCTAAAATCATTCAGAAAAGTCTACCCTACGGAAGAATGTTTTAAAAGTTTCCTAGTAGACCAGAGCACTTAAAAGTATACTATTTATTGACATGGAGTTTTGTTCTTTTAACCAGGAGAGTACAGAGAATGCTTACTATAATGGAAAATATAACCGGCAGGATTTTGAGTGCTACTTTCCTTTTATTATAGAGTTGGCAAGTAGGTCCTCAAATTAAAAACAAATAGGCACAAGAACCCTGTCATTCTAAAAAAAAAAAAAAAGAAAAAAAAAAGAAAAAAACCAAAAGAAAAAAACCAAAAAAACAAAACAGCAATCACTTGAAGTTAAGCTTCTTCCAGGACTTATTAAATGATCAAAAGTAGTCTGGCTGTCCCCACTCCAAATGCCATTTTAGTATATAAATGATACAGGGAAATATAAAGAAGGAGGAGTCCTAGAAATAATTGGCAAAATCTTCTGCGGGCTGAGAAGCAATTCTGTCCCCTCCAGTGGGAGGCAGAGGTATGCTCTCCTCCTGATGCCCCACTAGGAACCCAAGCTGCCAGAATAAACACCTGTAAAATGTGGAAGTTCCTGCAAAAGAGATCTACCTTTCATTCACTCTCCAGATAGTAGTCTCTTCAGGCAGCTGGCTTGCTGGTCTACCCTGTGTATATTTAATCAGAAGAGGTTATTGAAGAGAGCAAGACTGAAAGAGTGACAGCAGTGGAGTATAAGCTCTCTCATCATTTGGCCTGGAAAAGAAGTAGGAGCTTCTTCTGGGTCAAGTGTGCACTTGAAAAGTTGCTCAAGCTTGAGTCTTCTTGCTGGAATTCACCCAAGTGCACCTGACCCACCTAAAACAGTGAGGGTAAAAGAGCTGTTCTTGGTAGGAGTGGGGTAAGCCTTGACTTGATATCTCACATGGTGTAATGAGCCAGGGGAAGAATCCCACAGGATCTCATAAATAATTCATACTTGTGTTTCACAAGAGACCCAGAATTTGGATGTTGCGTGAGGACAGTCCATGTGCTCACAAAGCAGCACAGCCCTTCAAACTGTCCTTTCTGCCCTCTCTCCTTGCCTCTCTTCTCATCTCCCTTCCCCATCCTCCTACAAAGCCAGGAAGAACAAATAAGTAGGAGGAATAAGTAAAGGTGTTTCTGAAACAGACTGTGCCCCCTCCTTCTGTCCCATCCCCACCTCTCCTCCAAGGTGCTGGAAGCTTTAAAGAACAAATTACAGCCCTAGTCCTCAGAGTCAAAAGTCTAGCTGGCCGTAAGGAAAGGAGAACCTTTCATTTAGATTTCAGATGGCAGTTTTGGATAGAACCTGAATGCAGTTTAACCAAATGAAAATGATGGGAAAGTTAAGGAATCTGCTTGAGATATTCCTTAAGAGCTAGAAAAAGTATATTCAACAACTCATGGTTAAAAATCAGTAAGTGAATTCCTTGTTTAAACAATTCTAAGCTGAAAAAGTCTAGTAAGCCAGTTACATATTCCAATAACTAAAATATTTTAATTCAGTTTTAAAACAACGGCTACTCATTCTGCAAACACATGAGTAGACCAAGAGTTTTGTTTTGTTTTGTTTTGTTTTGTTTTGTTGATGAGAGTACTTGGTTGATTTTTCTGCTTTCCATAAGCAGTTCAAAAATATGATGACTAACAGAAAGTGAAATATCTTACAACCACTTTTTAGATTTTCTTAGTTATTCCTAGACATGGATTGTTCTGTGCCTATTTATTAAACAGTAGGCTTTTTTCTTCTGATCACGTTGTATGTCAACATCACCTGCAGACAGACTCCATCAAACTAGGCTAGTGATCATATAATGTGATTACACGGGGACAAAAGTTGATCTTTACAGTAACCAAGGCTGAAATAACAGGAGATGTTATGTTATTATCTTCACGTGCCATGTGACCCTAGTGTGATTTTTTTTAATGCAATGAATTGAGAGCAAATTTTTTAAAAACATTTTATTAGTTTTTGAGAGACAGAGAGCATGAACAAGGGGGGGCAGAGAGAGGGGGAAACACAGAATCTGAAGCAGGCTCCAGGCTGTGAGCTGTCAGCACAGAGCCCGACATGGGGCTAGAACTCACGAACTGTGAGATCATGACCCGAGCCAAAATACGATGCTTAACTGACTGAGCCACCCAGGTGCCGTGAGAGCAAATTTAAAATCAACTTTCAATTATCCAGAGACATAAGGAATGAAAAAAATGTACAAGTACCTTCACATTTTGACAAAACTCTCATTCGAGATTTAACAAAAAGCAGTAAGTTCATTTGGCTTTCACATTTCAGTATTTCCCAAATGTGCCACCTGTTACCTCTTAGAAGTTTTAAATAACGTTGCAGTTATAAAAGGCAGGTAACAGGATGCTGGAAAAGAAACTAGTTCATCAACCGAATTTACATCAGATTATTTTAACTATTGGTAAATGACCCACAGATTGAAGGGAAAGATGTCTCCATCAGAGAGGAGACAAAGAGGAAACTTCTTGTAAATAAAGTTTCAGAGTGGTGGGGGGTTGTCCTGATGCCTGAGATGAGAGAGTTACCTGAATGAGAGGTGCTTTTGCTCCCCAGCTGGGTTTCTGACTGGCTGTGGCTGACTGGTGTGAGGTCTTGGCAACTTTGGATGGGGGAGTCCCTTCCTGTAGGGTCAGTACCTGATGGCTTCTCAATATTTTTCATCTCCATTTCTTCATGATGTATCCAAAGATCAGGGGGCCTGAGGTCCTTCTGGCTGCCCTTCCTTTTGCCAACACTGTGGGTGGCCCGTTTCCTATGGAAGAAAAATTAGAAAGCAAATGTGAATGCTTCTATTCAGTGGTCCTTCCTCTCTTTTCTCAGTCAATTCAAGTTAGAAGCAGAGAAGGATAGAAGGGGCTCCCAGGAGGAAACCTGTGAAATCCAGGAATTGGCAGGCATGTGTTGGCTGCCTTTCCTCGTCTCCCCTGGAGATTCACCACATTATAGGAGCAGTGGTGCTGAATCCCCAAGGCCTCGGCTGCCTGCCAGAGAGTGCCTGACTCTAGCTTCACCAGCTACAAATTCCCCACAAGGTGACAATGGGTGAGATGGAGCCATATGCCAATCTTTGGAGCCAGTCATAAGATACTTCACTGCAACATCTGTTTAGGAGATAAATGAAGGAGTCGTGTTGAAAGGGCAAATGGAAATAAAAAGGCCAGAATTTGTGCCAGCCAAGACTGGGGTTTAGAAGAAAGTCTGTAGCTCAGCTGTATAATTTAATGTGCTATTTGAAGACAAAAGGCCGAATGAGGACACTCTAAGGAGAATAAAAGCACTTTTGCCTTGGAGTTACTAAGTATCTGGATGAAAACACAGTAGGATCCATCCTTTGAAAAGAGAAGAATACAGTTTAGAAGTATGCTTCAATTATCTCCTATTTTCCTCAATAAGAATTTAGCAACCATAAATTCATTTTTCAGTGGTAGTCTGTTTTTGGGGCTAGTCAGATTCAAATGCTCCCTTTAGGCTAAGTAAAGTAGCATGATACTCGTGGCTAGTCATTCTCTACAGTAGGCATCAGTAAAGTATGGCCTGCAGACCACATCTGCCCACTGCCTCATTTTGTAAATAAAGTTTTATTGGAATCCTACTGAACTCATTTATTTTCACACTGCAGTGTGTCGAGTGGTTGCAACAAAGAATGTATGACCCACATGTCTCACAAAACCTCAAACATTTACTATTTGTCCCTTTTCAGAAAGTTTTCAACCTCTGCTTTACAGTTCTAGTTTTTAAAATCTCTGCTTGTATCTTCTGTTGGTAATAATGTCTCTTCTAAGACAGAATTCAGATGGTTTAAATCCAACATTTGATAGAGCCCCAGAGAGAAGTAACTCCCTCTCACTTCCTCCCTTGCAACAAATGGTTTATGAGGATAGCTGTTTTCATGGTTGCTAAATGACTCAAACAAACCACTTCAGTGAAAACTCTTTGTAACCTGTACAGGCCACTGAGAGCGGCTTCACTTTCCAATGCTGAAAATAACCTTTGCATTCGTCAATTAATACATGCTTAGTGATGTGACTTGCTGAATTTTAATATATTTTTATCTTTTTTGAAGTGTGCTGATAAGGATAGGAGACAAAGAATGCCAGACTTCATATTTATCAAGTAGTTTAGTACAGAAATAATGCAGTATTTTCTGTTCTAATATTTTCCCTACAGCTCCCGCATTTTGCTGATTTCTTGGCAGCAGTCCCACACTGACTCTGACAATGGTCTGTAATAACCTTTAGATCATTTTCTTATATCTAAGATAATAACTCTCTGCTAACCATCCATTCCCTGAATTCATTTCCTTATACTTCACCTGCCCAAATGTACTAGTCCGCAAATGACACACAGCTCGCAATGTAATCTACCCCTGGTCACTTCTTAGAACAATCTAATGTCATTTTCAGACTTGGAGATTTCACCCTGTTATCTTTCTAACAAATCAAAATGCTAAAACACTTTTTAATCCCAGTGCCTATCAGACTGAATACAGAGAAGTACCAGTTCCCAAATCCAGGATAAGATGGCCAATGTTTTCATAATAACTCAATATTTAAATAGGTGTGGGAGGGAAATGTGTCAAATAATTTTTTAAACTAAAAATAAGTTATGAATTCTGGTTTCCTCTTGCTTACACACATGCCTCATTCATTCATTCATTCATTCATTCATTCATTCTTCATTCACCAGCCCCTATAATCTCAGTACCAAGCATCCACAAATGTAGTTTACTAAAAAAAAAAATTCCAAATCTGACTGAGGTAGAGCTTTTTTGTATGGTGTGATTTATAGCCTCCATCTGGGAAAAAATTATCATTCTTCATAAAATGCATACACATTTTTCTGATGGATTTTAGTTAGATTAAGACCTTTTCTGAGAAGCTACTCATCCACTTAGCTGTCAGCCAAGAATCTAAAGACTCTAGGGGAGCCTGGGTGGCTCAGTCGGTTAAGCATCTGACTCTTGATTTTGGCTTAGCTGGCAATCTTGCAGTTGGTGAGTTCGAGCCCCAGGGTTGGCTCCGCACTGATGGCACTGAGCCTGCTTGCGATTCTCTGTCTCCCTCTCTCTCTGTCCCTCCCCTGCTTGTGATCTCTCTCTCTCCCCCCCATCTCTCTGTCAGAAAAACATAAAAAATAAACATTTAAAAAAAACTTAAAAAAAGAATCTAAAGATTAAACAAATTTTATTTCCTTTTTGTATATATTCTATGAAAGGGCATCTACTAACTACTTTTGTTTTCTATCATGTCTCTTATCAAGAAGGAATTCTTTGACCTTGGAGAGGCCTCCCTTCCCTGCGGGTGGTAGTAGCCCAGCCACCAGGTACAGCAGGTTTTGTAATAAAACTGACATTTGCTCATAACTGAACTGAGATTTGTCTTAAAACCTGAGTTGTCATCTCAGCCTTCTGCCCATCTGCTGGTTCTCTGATACAGGACCCACTGTGGTCCCCTTGATCCTCTGTCTCATCATTGGAATCTTCAAATTTGTATGCAGATGAACCTGTGCAATGGGTCCTGAGGTGTGGTCCTTGGACCAGCAGCATCAGCATCACTTGGAAACCTGTTAGAAATGCACGTTCTCAAGCTCCACTGCAGTTCAGAAACTTGCAGATGGGGGGTGAGAGGGCGCAAGTGGGCAGGAGAGGGTGGGGCCCAGCAGTCTGTGATTTAACAGCTCTCAAGGGAAATCAGATGCACTCCAAGTTTGAGAAACACCACCTTAGTGAATTTTTTTTTTTGTTTTTATTTTAAACCTAGTTTTTGCATTAGATATACAATATGTCACATGTTTGTCCCTCCCTACATGCACCCTTTCTCACAGGTACCAGTAATCTTCCAGCTTCCAAAAACAGCCATAGGACGCCAGGGTCTCTTCTCACCCCATGGGCTGTTGAATAAAGGCAAAGCAAGCATTCTTTCAAGGTTCTCTGCTGTCTCTTTCTCATACTGGGGGACAAAGTTTTCACAGCATAATCAAGTGTTAGTGTTTTTTGTTCTCTCTCTCCATCTCCCTCCCTCTCTCATTGTACTTTTGCCCAGAATGCCTTCACAATCCTATTTACTTACAAACTACTGACTCTTAAAGATTTTCTTCAAGCCCTTCTTCTTCAGGAAGCCTTCCTGACCATGCTAGGTCAGTGTCATCTTAACATACCTAAATCACTTCCCTTGTCTCTTTACCACTCACCTTGCATTGATGACCGTCTGTCTTACTGAGCCGGCCAGATGCTCCCAGTGTGTGTATTGATTTCCTCCCGTGAGACTACAGCAAATTTTGTTTCATTCACTTATCCAACATCATCCGTTGTTTTGCAACATGTATTCATTTATTTATTCAGTGAACATTTACAGAATACTGAGTATGTGCCCAAAAAATGTGCTAAGTACTAGAAATGCAAAAGATAGGTGAGACATTGGGAGCTTAATAAATGAATGGAAAATGGCATGGCTACTATGAATTTCTGCATTGTTGGAGTCATGAGCAGGCAACGGATCATGGCAGTTGGTAAAGCTGAAAAAGTGGAGGGACCAAATCACAGGAGGCCTTGCCTCCAACAGAAATATTTTTAATAGTATCAGGAAGTCAGTGGGGAATTGCAGAAAGATCTTTAGCTCAAGAGTTAACATTAATCAGATCTGTTATTTTGTATAATGCAGATTACTTACTGAACACATAGTAATTACTTGAATTAAATAATGAGAATTTTTCATTATCGACTTGGAAGTATTTTTTTTGGCAAGATTCTCTGATTTTTTATTGGCTTCTGTGTTTCTTACTTTGCGCATAACCTATTACTATAAGAGAAGTTTGTTTCCTCAATCACTTTTAATCAGTATGTTTAGGATGTGAAAGGGTAAAAGCCAACATTGGTTTAGTATCCATTTTATTCAAGGCTGTGCCCTTTGAAGTTCTACAAAACTATCATTTCACAGATTCTTTTGCACATTGTAATAAACTATTCAATCCCCTTCTCTGCTTAGGCATCCTCTGTTCAAGTCCCTCACAGGAGGCAAATAGTGTTGTACTAATTCTTGTGGTCAGATAGGTGTGTGTCCAAGATCTGATGGAAGGTTGAGGCAAGAACACTTTGCCCCACTGGGGATTTACAAAAGGTTTCAGAAAGGAAGAAGAGCTGGAGGGCATGTGAAAAAACGATTCAAGTTCACCAGGAAAAAATATATTAGGATGTATAAGTACCCGCCCAACTTCTTCCATCCAAATCTTTTCCAAATGTTTCCCGCTTCTTAATTCTGTATATTGATTATTTTCATTCTGCCAACTGATATAAAAAGCAAAAGAAAACACTTGTATTGGAAACCCAGGGAACATGTGTCATAGATACTCAAATAAACCTGCATTTTCTGTGGTGGAATTAAGATATACTGAAGATATATTGAATCCTAAGGGGTTGCCTCTGTGGAATAGGGAAAAATAATTAAAATGTTAAAAATCTGAAAATCAGTGAATGTAACCTAAGCTACAGTAGATTTCATGTAAGAGTTTAAACATTTGATTGTCAGCATTGAAAATGATTATTTCTGTTAAGAATGTGGACTAATATTTAAAAGTTGCTGTACACTTGTCACATCAAATAGGACATTTAGTCAGTTGGTGACTCTATCAAGTAAAACTTGAATTTTATTTACATATTTAAATTTAATGTAGTCGGACAAGCTGTTGATAATCTACCCAGGTAACTGCCTTTAAAATGTGATAACCATGCGTCTTGGATTTCCAGCGTATTCTCAATGTCAAATCTTTTGTCTTTAGTATCTACAGATACATTCTAACTTATCATATTCCATATTCTATAGCTTGGCCAGGAAAATGTCATTACTTTATTAAAAGGCACAAAACCCCTCACCTACTCCCCATTAATTTAAGCTTTCACAAACACATTTTTTCCATCTTTGGATATTCTACTATGATTTCACTAATTCAAAATGTGTAAGGGGAGTCCCTCTTCAAAGTAGTAAGCGATTTTAAATTAATAACCAAAAAGAAATACAAAATTATTTTTATTTCATATCAATTTGATGCCACATGTTACCATGTGATTCTACAACTTGATAGCATTCCATGGGGAGTTTCAGTGTTCTGAGGTAGAGAAGATGACAGAATGTATTTATCCCTGTTTCTCATTTGAGGAAACTGACATTCAGGGATTAGGTTTCATTAACCACCACTAATTTAATTCAAGACGTGGGGAATCAGAACCAGAACTTGGGTTCTACCTTCTGTTATTTTATATCGTAAAAACAAAACGGTACCAACTAGAATGTGAATCAGATAAGTACCTCATTATTAAATAAATATGTGTATACAAAAAACCATACAATAAAATATATGGACATTAACTTGAATGATGTACTGTTCACAGTGCACATAAATATGCTTCAAATCCGTCGGATGCAATTCAAGAGCCCCAATAAAACACAAAGACAATTTACAGTCTCCAGCACCAACAGGTAAAGAGATATTGAAGCAGCTCATGAATGTGTTTCCTATTTCACTTTATTAATTACATGAAACTCTCATTTTTCTGAGGGTTCTGTAAGGGACATTACTTCTGTTTTAGATTGGAATTGATTTTGCTTTCATCTGCATCATTTAATTTGTTCAAAAAGTCTCAGTGATGGTGGTATCAGGAGGAAGGATCCTCAGTAAAATCAAGAAAAGTTAAATTAAAACTCAGGAATATCTTGAAGGAGAAATTTTTCTTTTTCACATTTTCTCTGTTAGTATATACAAACAGAGAGGCCAGGATGAAAGGCAATGGGTCTGTTACAGAAGAAAGATAGATGAGGAAAAATTGTGAAAATATGCCAAGTAAATATTAAGAGATTTTGAGTGAAGGCTGAGGAAAAACCAAAGTGGCAGTAGGACAGAAGCTATAAATTCACTTTCTTTGGTTTTCAGTCATTCATGGAGTGATTTATTCTTTCATTCATCTCCTAATTTAAAAATGAGTTCTATGGGGCCCCTGGGTGGCGCAGTCGGTTAAGCGTCCGACTTCAGCCAGGTCACGATCTCGCGGTCCGTGAGTTCGAGCCCCACGTCAGGCTCTGGGCTGATGGCTCAGAGCCTGGAGCCTGTTTCCGATTCTGTGTCTCCCTCTCTCTCTGCTCCTCCCCCGTTCATGCTCTGTCTCTCTCTGTCCCAAAGATAGATAAACATTGAAAAATTAAAAAAAAAAAAAATGAGTTCTATTGAGGGCTCAGCCTCTACTCTTTCCAAATAAAACCTTCAAGCTCTTAAGAAGTGCTTAGCATGGGATCTAAGACAATTTAAGAGTTTCTAAAAATAGCATGAAATGCCACTTTTGCACATGGAGAAGACTGGCATTTTCTCTGTGAGGAAACAAAATATGTCCAAGAATCCAATTCATCAGGTCCATATAATCCACCAACATTCTTCTCAAAAAGATGAAAATGAAAAAACCAAAACACCCCACTACAGGTGGTTCCGATGATTAAACTTAGTTTAGTGAACACATTCATGTTTTTCAAGCCATCATGAAATAGGCCAAGCTTGGTTTTGGTGCCTTCCCCACTTTCTTTCACGTGAATATTTCTCAGCTCTACTTCAGCGGCCTGTCACATAGATGTCTTCCCATTCTATGTCTGCACAGCCCCATTCCTGGGATTATTCCACCAAGAGACTGTCGAATGCCTCACCCCATTACAGTTCTTTTTTCTCCAGAGCCTCACTAAATGTCCAGCACACTGGAGGTTCTGTGTAATTATGATTTCCTAGAATGCTCACACATGAGAGTAAGTTAAGCTCAGTCTGCGTGGCTTCTTGTTTAAGCACAATGGATTAGCACATCAGCTATCACTAACTCGAAGATAGCCCAATTTCACACATGCAGCCAAATATAAAATTTGTCCTGCCATATAAATAAATTAAATACAAAGACTGCATCTACACTCATATGTCACTTTCTTTAGCTTGTACATCTTCCTGTATCCTATTTCTAAATACCTCACTTCAAAAGGTTGTAAGATACAATACAGATCAACAAATGGGTCATAGGCTTTTTAAAAAGAGAAACTAAGGTATTAGCAAGGGAAGAGAAACAACGATTTGTTAGAGAATCTTTCTCTGACACTGTGTGTAGCATATAGTTGTCAAATCAGCCACCTATAGGCCCAATGCCTCAGGCTTTCAGAGCCGGCACTATGCCTGAGGCCAAAGGGGGAAAAAAAAAAAAAAATCAAGGGAAGATCTTATCAGAGCCAATTCAGTGAGAGAGTACAGCTGAAAGGGACATATCAGGCTGGATTTGAAAAGTGCTAGACAGGCAGAGAATAACCAGGAGATTATTGCTGATTCCCACAACTTCTGACACAAGGTTAATATGCTGGTTATGGATGTTGCTGGAAGGGGATAAACTGAATTAAAACCATCTTTCCATTCTAAACTTTGACTTTGATGTATCATCCTCTGCATGGGCTATAACCTAGAATTGCATAATATGGAAAAAATTTTTTAAACCCCTCAAAACGTTGAATTTCTGAGAATCAACCACAGCCGGGAAATCCGAACACTGGGAATTTCTAGGATCTCTCTTCTATCCTAAGTACTGTCTCCAAACTAAATACTCCACTGTATTATAACTACATTGAGTTTGGTAGTCATTCGTGCATCAAGCATTGGTTAAATGCCTACAGGCCTCCTTGCCAGAATTGATAAATACTTTCAAAGGAACACACATCTCCAACATTTTACACATAATTGCAGACAGGGCCATGAATTGGGACATGGTGAAGTCCATTTTCTAAATGTTGCTAAAGGAACATGTGCCCTCCTCTGAAAGGAAGGATCTGGCCCAGAGAAGTCAAGTCAAGCAGAAATGCCAAGTGGGTCTCCAGGTGGATTCTATTATTAAGTCTGCAAGCCTAGCCCTCACTCACTCAAGTTATGGGCCTGAAATGAACAAAAGGCAAGGTTTTGCTCAGGTCAGAGGCTAAGGAATATGTGGTAAATTATGAAAAAGAACACCAAAAGAGATTTCTCAAAAATATAACTCAAGAAGGTGATAGGTCAAACCGTGACCTCTCTCCTCTCGGGAACCAGCTGTTACCTACTTTCTCTGCTGGGCTGAAGAGCGCCGGGTGCAAATCACAGCCACGATCACTACCACCAGCACTGTGATGACGCCAACGGTGACCACAATGATTACAAGCAGGTTGCTGTTCTTTTGAGGAGTGACACTGCCGTGTGGGGGGTGCATCTGGCCAATGGGTGGCTCTGGGAAAAGACAGGCAAATGGAGATCAGATTTAGGGGTTGTGACAGCTCCGCGTTCATCAAGCTGTTAAGGATGTGAATGTTCCTATTGTTCTGGGCATTCTTGAAGCTGGGGAAAAAAGCAATGAAAAATGAGAGGAAAGATCTATGTTACCTCCCCAAGAAGAAAATTAAATATATGTCCACACAAAATCCTATACGGAAACATTCATAGCAACGTTATTTAGAATAGCCCAAAGTGGAAGCAACCCAAATGCCCATTGACTGAAGGATGGATAAACAAAATGTGGGGCTTCCATACAGTGGAATATTACCCAGCCATAAAAGGGAATGAGGACCTGATACATGCTATGACATGCATATACCTTAAAAATGTTACTCTAAGTGAAAGAAGCCAGACACAAAAGGTTAATATTGTACGATTCCACTTATACAAAATATCCAGAATAGACAAATCTGTAGAGACAGAATGTAGATTAGTGTTTGCCAGTGGATGGGAGGAATGAATGGGGAAGGACAGCGAATGGGTACAGGGTCTCCCTTGGGGATGGTGAAAATGTTCTGGAATTAGACAGTGGTGCTGGTGGCACAACCTTGTGGATGTAACTAAAAACCACTGACATCGTACACCTTCAGAGGGTGAATCTGTAGCACGTGAATTATTTCTCTCTCTTTTTTTTTAAAGAATTAACCTGTCATATTGAATAGAAAGTGGGGACAGGAGGAAGGCTACTTTGTACTACGAGTATTCCAGGGTTATGAGAACCACAGGAGGCTATGCTTTATGAGAAATCACTATTTATTCGAGGGTGTGAAGGACAAACTATTTGACTCCAATCACTTACAATTTATTTCCATTTTTTTAAAGGAAGCTATCTATAAAGCTTTAATTTTACATTTAATTTTCAACCTATTAAAAGTGCATGAATCCCACTTAAAAGCTGTCACTTGGTTCAAAAGAGGGTCATAAAACCCTGATATGAATGTTCTCTTGTCTTGCAGTAGTACCTCATGGTAGACAATGTTTAGGTGAAAATAACAGACAAGACATTTTTTGTTATAATTTGCTTAGGTAAACAAGAATGGCTAATGACACCTTAAATTGCTTTCTTTAAATATTCAGTAATCAATTAGAAATATTATGTCCTATGTTACGTTATTCATTAGAAGTAACAACGTTTTAAAAGGTAAACAGTAGCTTGTTTTATTTATAAATTAATTTAAAGGGGTCCTGGGGTGCCCAGGTGGGTAAGTTGTCTGACTTCAGCTCAGGTCATGATCTCACCGTTCATGAATGTGAGTCCTGCATTGGGCTCTCTGCTGTCAGCGCAGGGCCCAGTTTGGATCCTTTGTCCCCCTTTCTCTGTCCCTCCCCACCTCATTCGTTCTCTCCTTCTCTCTCTCCCTCTAAAATATAAACATTTAAAATATACACATATAGGGGCGTCTGGGTGGTTCAGTCGGTTAAGTGTCCATCCGACTTCGGGTCAGGTCATGATCTCACAGTCCGTGGGTTCGAGTCCCAAGTCAAGTTCTGTGCTGACAGCTTGGAGCCTGGAGCCTGCTTCAGGTTCTGTGTCTCCCTCTCTCTGGCCCCTCCCCGCTTGTGCTCTGTCTCTCTCTCTCTCTCTCTCTCTCTTTGTCTCTCTCAAAAATAAATAAAAACATTTAAAATATATACTTAAAAATTAATGTAAAAAGTCACAGAAAGCAATGATTTTGTATATTTTCCTAGACCTAAGTTTGAATGTGCTTCTTTAACAAGCTATGTTAGCTTTTTATACCTCCTGAGTGAAGTATTTAGGCCTTTTACACCCTCGGTGACTTTGTCTGCAAAATGGAAATAATACTTATTTTTACCGGCATTGTCAGAATTAGAGAAAATACATACAAAATGACCATCTCAGCACCTGACAGGGAATAAATCAAAATCAAAACCAAAACACTATCTTTTGACAAGTTATCTAAGAATCATTGTTTTTTTGAAACAATAGTCACCTAAATTTAAATTATTGCTGATTCATTGTTATTGGAAAAATATTAAGCACTTCTGATATAACTTGAATCTCAGGGGAGGAACTCATCAAAAGTGTTTAAATAGCACTTTCTGTTAAACATTCTCTTATAAGTGAAAGAAATAAGATATCCTTGAAGTAATTTTTACATTTACTGCAAAGGAATGAGGCAAGTAATAAAAGGTCAGAACTTTCTGTATCATAGTTTTACTTACAATTTAAAAAGTCATTTTACAGTAGTATCTCAATATGCCCTTTCTGTGCTTAATAAATTAATTGATTGGAATAAATTAACCTTTTATGTGAGAACTTACAATGAAGACAGTTGGAGATATCATGGATTTTTATTAGCATGACTTCAATTTAACAGTTCACCATTTCTGACAAACTTAGTTTCAGTCATACAGAACAGTACACCTAATGAACATTTTTAAAACCTTGTAAACTAGAATTTTTCAAATTTCTACTCATTTCTTTTTCCTCCCCACCCAGAAAGGCATCATGTTTCAAGTGTGAAAGGAATGACTCTGGACTTTGCTGAACATGAATGAGATTATATCGATGCCATTTGCCTTAGAGAGTTAGGGATCATGAGGACTCCCATTATAAATCTTTGATACCAGGCCTTTACACCTTCCTCATAAAAGTTCCCATCAGTTTGAAAGTTGATATTCAAGGTCTTTCATTAATTTCCCCATCTCAATTCAAAGGCTTAACAATCAGAATATTTGACATCAATGGGCAGTTAAGAAAGTCAAGTGGAATGGAATCTTTTGATGTCGCTGACCCTCATTATCTGTGGTAATTTGTTCTGTAGAGTTGCTGTAAACACTGAATTAAGGAATACTAAGTATTGCTGCTGGAGGCAATGCAGTGTTAGGTTCCTGGGAGCCTCTGGTTACAACATTTTTATCAATCAATATATAACCTTGTTTTATATGTGTTTCTTTTTAAAGACACTTTATTTAATACATAATGTTCATTCATTGACATTGAACTCACAGTCAACAACATCATAACTCATGCTTGAGTGAAGCTTAATTAACACACACATTTTCTCCATAAGCTACAGCATACAGCCTTTTGCGTGTAGGAACAGTAAACAGCACCTCAGCACTACACTTAAGGCCACTTTAAACCCTGAAACCACCACTAAAAAATGCACAAAAATGTAAAAAAAAATTGGCACTACATACACTGTAGAAAGGATGCTTGTTTACACTGTGAGAGCTGAAACAATAAGGCAGAGGGTCATCTTGTTTATTTCAGCTGAGTTCGTGAGCACTGGGCTACTCAAACTTTTGGCTGCTCTGCGCATGTCCACAATGACCATAAAAGCATTACAGGTATTGATTTTGGTGGTTAAAAATAAATTCTAGCAGTAAGTGAATTCACAATAACAATCTGCAAATAATGACAATCAACCATATATTTGAACACATCAAAAGACTGTTGCAAATTAGGGAAAATGTTAGAGCTCATCAATCTAGATCACTACAGATAAGAGTTCTGGAAGACAGCCTGACTCCAGAAGAGGCAAGATGACATTTACTATCTTTTGGGCTTCAGAGCGGAAGCTTCATGATGTAATTCAGAGATTTGCAAATATCCTTCTGGACACTGTGATTATTTCATGAGATAATGGATGCAACACACTGGCCACAGGCCCTGACACAGGGTTGGCACTCAATAGACATTATGAAGCGCTTCAATATTCATTCTATGTGATCTTTCCAACTTAAAGAAAAATATAGTGTCCTGATATATCTGTTCCTGTTGTTACTAAAATAGCTTGGGTATCCAGTGTATTGGTAATCAAAGACTTAGATGCGTTTCATTAAAATTGGTGAGAAGAGAATTAAATTTTGAAAAGTCACATGGGCATTCCCTCCATTCTTTATTTTCATAACGTTTGATTGCCATAAAATGTTTCAACCTTTTTCTACTACATTTAATAAAAATAAATATATACTTCATAATCTTATGGGCCTAAAGTCTCAAGTAATAATTGGAAAATTGGTTTCATGAAATAATAATGTCTTTAATTTTTAGAGTATTTGGGAGAGAACAGATCCAATGATTGCTTGGGACTAAACTTCTTTCCTACATTTGCAGTCTTCCCTGATAACAATTTTGTTATTATAACACTTTGAGCTCAACATATGTCTCAATAATTTTACAGGTCTTTGAATTTGAACAGAAATTCCTATGGCATTGAATATTTCAAAGCATCTCCCCCTGAAATAAAGTGCTATATAGTCAACCAGCTGGAAGAAACTTTACAGATAATCTAGCCCAATGTTCCCTAAAATGAAATATTAATCAGCATTATGGGGTTGGGAGGAAGTTCCTTGGTCAATTAAGTTGGAAAACATATTTCCTTTCTCAAATCTCAGAATTTTGAACATGCTAACTTCGTGAACTGTGATTTGCTAGGAGAGATAGGGCAGGCACAGTAAAGAATATACCCAATTATTCTAGAAAAATGTACTGAAGATCCAGTTAGGTGCCTGGGATATGATGCTGTGATCCGAACATGGATGGACCTTGAGGGCATTATGCTAATGAAATAAGCCAGACATAGAAAGACAAATCTACATGATATCACTTGTATGTGGAATCTGAAAAAGCTGAACTCATAGAAACAGACAGTAGTAGAATGGTGGCTACCAAGACTGGGGGTTGGGGGAAATGGGGAGATGTTGGTCAAAAGGTATACATTTCCAGTTATCAGATGAACAAATTCTGGGGTGACAATGTACATCATGGTGATTATGGTTAATAATACTGTACTATACACTTGAAAGTTGCATAGATTACAAATCTTAAATTTTCTCATTACAAAAAAATAAATGGTAATTATGTGATGTGATGGGGATGTCAGCTAACACTATGGTGGTGACTGGTTTACAGTCTATAAGTGTAGCAAATTAACAGATTGTACACCTTAAATTTATACAGTGTTATATGTCTATTATACCTCAGT